TTTGCAGAGCGTCTCCACGGCCTCTGCCAAGTTCCTTCTCCCTTTCTGCCAGCTAAGGAGCGAGCCCTTGGATGACTTCTCGTCTTTGCTTGAGGTGCTCCCCACCACATTAAATTAAGTAGAGCCACTTCTTCAGTGGGCATTTTGGAAACTAAAACCCTGGCTCTCAACCATTCCCCTTATGGTGGCATTTGTGGTTGGGCAAACACACTTTGGTAGATTTGTCCACGGGCGCAAACTCCACTCTCTCACTTTGCTGTTTATTATCGTGCAAGCAGTTGGCCTGGGTGGTGCGGGTGAGTCTGTGTTACTATGAAAAGCCTCCAGGTAGAGGCAGGAACTAGTAGGTATACTTCATGGAAAGCCTAGTTATCCTCCAGCCCTTCCTATATTAAACTTTGTGCTCTTTAACAGATCAATAGCTTCTGGAAGTTTGAGATTTTTGTCTTGACTGCTTGTGTTGTTTTGGACATATCTAATAGGCAACTCCTCTTTAAAATGATCATTTAATAATTTTCAGTAAGTGTAAATAATAAGTAACTACTGGGACTTGTGATTAAGTTACAGGACTTGTATACAAATGTATGTATCTATATTAGACTACTATGTGGGTTTCAGTTATGTAATGTGCCTGCAATATTTAAGCTCTGCAATATGCGCATTTCAGAATAGTTTCAATATTTTTTTTCCAATAATAGTTTAAAATGTGTATATTATCTATTTTTCTCAATTTATACACTGATATTTTGCTTTGGTACCAAGGCAATAAATTGATTAAATGTGTGCACATGGAGATACATCATTAACTGTGTTCAATAATCTCAGACTGCAATGGAACCACTCTGTATGAAGTCAGCATTGCCAACTCTTTTGCTTTTTTATCATTAATCTCTTGATATTTGTTGTCTAATACTCCAGTTCCTGGAGTCTAATATTAATAATCAGTTGGGAAAGAGGATGAAAGGGTTGAAAACATGATTGAAGTTATCCAAAAAGCTCAAAATCTAGTTTAACCCCCCCCCCCCCAAAAAAAAACAAACAAACAACAAACAACCCAACAAAGCAAATCTCATGATTGAGGCCTGACCAATTTTTCACTATGTTGGCAGTAATAATAGGGGTAGACATTTGAAAGAGTTTGCAGGCTACTTGCTTTTTAGGGCCTAATTTTGGATTTGGCTTCAAAAAGAGTGGTCCTTTGTGTTGTCTGGGTGTCTGCATACAAGGCCTGAGCTGTAGCACCATGACCTTATTTTATTGTACTATGGTTTTGCAGAATCCTTTGTGCTTTCACACCTTGGATGGATACAGTTCTCTTCCCTCTTGCATGAACAAATATTACAATTCTAACTGGTTGGCAATTTTTTTTTTTCCACACATGATTTTTTGTTTTAACTGGTGAAATGCCCAGTGATGTTTCTAAAGTGTAGAAGCTGAAATAAAACTTAAAAAAGAAATTAAGTATATGCAGATACACTTTTACTCAGCGGCATTAATATATCAATCCAACAAACCAGAAAGTGATTTTTTTCCTTACCACTTCAAGGGAATAAACGTTCAAGTGCTGGTAGAGAATATGCTACTAAATCCGTTTGCTGAATAAAGACTAAAGAAAAGAAATGTACATGTAGGGTGACCATATTTTAGGGGAGTCCAGGACACTGCCCTCTTCCCCTCCCCAAGTCAACAGCATTGTTGCAGGCCAAAGCAGACAGCACAGGGCACAGTCCAGTGGAGAGGTGGAGCAGCATGGTATGGTGGGTGGGTAGACAGGCACCCCTGCTGCTGTGTGAGGAAGGCAGGTAGGCTGGAGCAGGTGCCACCCCACCCACACATGCCTGGCCTGGCTCCTGAGCAGCAGCTGAAGGTGGGCTGGGCACTGCTCCAGTCCACCTGCCTTGCTCCCGCACAACAGTAGTGGTGCCTGCCCAACCACCTGCCTAGAGCATCATGCTGCTCTATCTCCCCACCAGACTGCCCCCCACATCCCTGAGATTCCAGGACTTTTGTTTCAATTTTCAGCAACTGGCCAGGACCGTCCCATGAAATCTGAGACTGTCCTGGCCAAATCTGATACAGTATATTGGATGTTAATGTAATAGCCACCTACCCTATGAGCCTCAAGTTGCTAAGTCTACAAAATTAAAACTGAAGTGTCAGATTACAGACAGAAGACATTAAATCTCTTTCTTATTTGAAAAGGTTTATTATAGATTTGCTTACCAAATTTATGGAAAGTAACATTTTATTGTATCAGCATTAGGTTTGTTTTGATTGCATGGATTGTAACCTCTGGATGGAGATTGCAGACATGAATCATTTATGAGTTGTGGATCATAAAAAAAAAAAAAAAAAAAAAAAAAAAAAAAAAAAATCTGAAAACACTTCAGAATAATAGCCCAGGTAGTCAGCTAATACTGAGATAGAGTTCAGTGCAATGTGTTTGGGGTCAGATGTCACATAGGACTGATCATAATTAAAACTGAACATGCATTTTCAGAATTTCAGCAAACCTCGTTTCTGTTAAGAAGGTACTGTGGAGAATATATTGGGGATAAACATTTGTACTGGAAAGGTAATTGTACAAACTTAACTGCTGGGGATTATTAAAAGTAATGCTTTCTAACCAGCACTGTAACAAATACCTGAAGCTCAGAGTATAGGCGACACATGGGGAAGGCATAGGGGAGCACATGCCTCACCCCTCCCTGCTCGCTCCTCCCAAGATTTTTGTGCAGATGGTGGGGCGTGGGGCTGCAGCCTTGCCGAAGCCAGTGCCTGGCAGTAGCGAAGGCAGTTGTGTGGAGTTGCGCCCCCTCCACTGTCAGCACTTATGCATTGTCTATTATGGCTGGGGACAGATATTGTGTGGGGGGGGGGGAAGAAAAACAAAACTGAATATACATACCACGCTTTACTGGAAGAGGCAGCACATTAGTTTGACCGGCCTCTGCAGTATCTCTATAGGTTGGGTGCTTCAACAGAGCTTTTTGCCACTTTTCTCTAAAGCTGATTCAATCATCTATTAGATAAAGGTGCTAAAAAGCCCCACTGAAGTCCACAGTCTATACAAATGTGCACTTTAAACTTGGTGGGGGCACACCAAGTTTAAAGTAAAGTACTGTTGTTTTGGTTTGGGGGGGCGCTTTTTTTTTTAATGCCTGTATGTGACTCAGAGTTTAAGGCTAGAAGGGTCAAATAGATTATTTAGCCTAGTGTCACTGACTGACTCAGGAGCCACAGGGTTAACCAAAAGAGCCACAGTGACATGTGCTCCTAGGGGAATTGTGGCAAACACTGGAATTCAAAAGGGAAAAGTCAAAGCTACAGTATATAACTGTATGCATTGTATTATTTAGGGTTGCTGGAAAGATATGCTTAGTGCTTTCACGTAAAAAACAAAACCCAAAAAACAGTACTATTTGCTATAAAAACCCACAGGGGATAAGTGAAGCTGCTTGTGGCTTAGAAGCTATGGTTTGAGTATCACAACATTTTAACCTGACCACCTGTTATGTCAAATGTCATTACATTCCACCTGGTTACCCACATTTGACTAAGGCAGGTTTTCCCAGGTGGCATTAAGTTCCAATTTGAAGACATCCTTGTTCCTGCTAATTCCATCTAATTATGCTATGGCTTGATCATGAAGGGATAGTGCACTATAACTATTAAAAGGTGAACATTTGACATAAAATAGGGGTTACAATTATGTTTGCCAAGTATCCATACTTAGAATATCTGCCATCTGGGTTCATAGAAATATTGTTTAGCTATGCTGAAAACATAACAGTTGTTAAGGTATGCAAAGTGATGAGTTATTTCTAAAAGTAAAACAGACTTCACCACACTAACTGTACAATATCTTTTTTCATCTTGGACATCTGTACTTACCACTTGTACATAAGCAAGGGAAACTATAGTTTAAAAGGCAGATTTCAGGTCTAATCCTCTCAGATGCTGGAAATCTGTGAGGCTTTTTGCATTTAAAAACTTGTCTAAGACTAATTCCAACTATGCATTTGGTCCAACAAAAGGCATCACTGATAAAAATTCCGGCTTTTTGCATAATTCCTTGACCGTCATGGCTACAACATAACTCCAACATTACTCAATATCTTATGCAGTCAGTGGCATTGAGCAAACTCAGAACTCTGCAAAGCCATACTCTTCCCCGAGTTCCCAGATCAACTTGGCTTCTTTCCTCCAATCTTTCCAAATGCCTAGCTTGTTGCAATGATCTGATGGCTGAATTTGGATTATCTGTTGTATATGCTCCATATACTAATGAAGAAGCTATTGGGCCTAATTTAGCTTCAAACTTGTTTGTTTTTTTAAATAAAAGCTAACTTTTTTCCCCCAAAAGCCTAAAGTTCTCATCAAAAACAAGTTAGCCCTGGTTTACCCCA